AGGTGTACGTGGCTGGCGCCTTAGCCGGTTGAGCTATAGGTGCCGAGCCTCAATTTTTTAAATTAATGTTTTTCCTTCATGGGGCAAGGGGAAGACTTCCCAGGCCTCAGCCTCACCCCTATTCCGCTCCAATAGGTGTGGAGTGGGGCTTAGGCATCTCTATTTTCCAAAAGCTCCCCCAGCAATTCTAATGCTTAACCATGGCTGTGTAGTCATTGGCTAGTGTCACAGTGAGTTGGGGTTATTCGACCTACTAACAGGAATAGCATTGGTAACAGTTGCTAACACAATTTTCCAGAAAAAGAAGTGAATTACTCCCCTCTTTAATTCTGGGGTAGTAAACAATGACAAAGCCAGAGTATAATCTGGGCCTCTTTAAGGTCTAATCAGAGTACAAATCCTTTTCCTTAAAAGCTGTTCCCTAGGCTCTACACATGTAGCTCAAGCAGCCAACGTGCCAGCCACATATACCAGAGCTGGTGGGCTCAAATCCAGCCTGGGCCTGCCAAACAACAATGACCACTATAACCAAAATATAGCCAGGCGTTGTGGTGGGGACCTGTGGTCCCAGCTATTTGGGAGGCTAAGGCAAGAGAATCGCTTAAAACCCAGGAGTCGGAGATTACTGTGAGCAGTGATGCCACAACACTCTACCCAGGATGGCAGCTTGAGGCTGTCTCAAAAAAAAAAAAAAAAAAAAAAATCTACTCTCTGTGGCAGCAAAGAGGTGTGGGAGTACCTCAAAGTGGGGGGAGGCATACCAGGTTAGTATTATGAAACTCTTGTATTATAGTTGGTAGTAATTATGGTAAAAAGTAGAACATAAGGAAAACTGTATCTTACAGTAATTTAATCAATGTATGGGTCCATAACAAAGAATTTCAATCAAGTTGGACACTTGGAATCAGTGTGTATAGCACTCACTGCACAGGACTGAGATAAGGGACAGCACAGTGAGGGTCAGGGTGAGAACACTTTCTTTGGCAGAGCGTGGTTTGACCACCTCAGTGAATAAAGGACCAGAGCTCTGGAACCTATCAGGACACTGCTGAGCAACACTGGGTTGTGTTCCAGAGAGCCAGATGGGTGACAGTGGAGTTGGCTCCTGTGCAGCCTGGTTTTGGGAAGTGGAGAAGGGGGAAAGCTGAAGTCTACACCACCAATAGCAAAATTCCTTTCCAGGGATCATAATCATAGGAACCTTTGCAGGGCTTCCCAGGGTGGCCTAAAGCCCTCCTCTCTACTTCACCTTGGACCCTATCCCTACTCTGCTTTCCTTGGGACTTGCTGAGGGGGAAAAACCACATGCTCAGTGCTCAAGAGGAAGGCAGGTTCTACAGGGTTGGGACAGCAGAGGTTTAGAAACAGAACTGGCTTGCTAGTCTCTCAGGGGGTGGGGAGGCAACTTACCTGTTTTCCTTTGAAAGTTCAAAGGATGGGCATTCTGCAATATTCCTACAGAAATCTAGTTCGTGGGCATTTGCCAAATTTGAGAAGGGCGATGGAGATAGTAAGTAACTGATAAGGGCCAGTCCTAGACTTAATCTGACAAACCTCAAAAAACGTGCCATGGAGCCTAAATGGGGTATAAAGGGCACTCACTACTAGGCTCTTCATCTGGACACCATTGCCCTGATATTGGGGGACTGAGCACTGTCCAAGCTCTGGATATTGATCAAGGATAAATCAGGCACCAGATAAGGCATCTCTCTCCTGGCAGAGGACCCAGGCTGGCCAGGCCAGAGACCTTGAACATGAAGGCTCTTTAAGTTGGGTTAGTGCTTCTACTAGTTGTGCTCTCTTTTGGATGAAGCACTACAGGAAATCAGCCCAGAATAGAGGCTCTGCATGGGCTACAGGGAAGTCCCTCGTCTATCCACATAGGTCAAAGAAGTCTCTTAATTATTTGTCTCACCATTTTACACGGAACCTCTCTGGTCAGAGTCAACAGGAGGAGAAAAGCTGGACTCCTAGTTTTGAGTTCTTGGCTCAGGTAATACTCTATTCCTCATTCTCTGTTGAGGATATGAAAGAGAGTAGGCCTCTCGAGGACAGCAGCAACCCTTCTCTCTTCCCTGTTTTCAGAGATAGGATTGATAAGCAGCTTGTGCATACTTCACCACTTAGGCCAGAAATTAAACTTTGTGTTTCTTTACATTGAGATATGGTTGGTATGTGTCCTGGCTCAACAACACCATGGCTAACAATGGAAAGGAAGGACTTCGTGTTTTACTTTACTTAGGACCACTGATGAGTTTGAAGATAAACACCTCCCAAAGCTAGCAGTCAGTGGTTCTTAATCCTTTTCTCATACGTGTTTGGGAAACTGAAGGGATGGACCTACCCTCCAAAAAAACATATATGACAAAATATTAAACACAAAACATACAAGTTGGGAGCAAGGAATCGTAGAATTCCTGCACCCAGGTTACCAATCCCAGCTGTAGGACAGAAGACAGCTGCATACCTGGGCAGTTTCTCTGGACTTCCTTCCAGGAGCTCTACTTGCCCAACTGTTGGCACACACAGAACATCCCCTTCCTGGACTAACCTGTAACACAGCAGTAGCCCTGGTCAGCTCACAATGGGAGTTAAGAGCAATGTGCACATCTGCCCCCTGCCCCCCAGAGGTCCCAAGCAATTCTCTAGGGAACACATCAGACCTAGGATGGACTGGAGGAAATAGTGGAAAGACTTGGGGATCAGATACCAGAGAGGGGCAGAGCAAGATCCTGGTTCTTTTGGAAGCCTCTTAAATCAAACAGGTTTTTGTTCAGAGTGCCCAAATTGTTTAGATTTCTCTTCTGTGGTCTGCTTGACACATTGAGAGGTTCCTACCTATAATTTGCCTAAAATGTGGCTTCCTATAACCAGAAGCTCTGGTGACCATGATCTAAGGCATGGGAGAGGAGAGTGGTAAGGATGAGATGTAATTCTCTTTCAAAGGGTAAGTAGCTAACCTGGGTGTCTGAAAGTGCCGGTAAAGAACATGATCATAATTTCCATTAGTGCTGTAGTGGGGAGAAGACACAATTTCAATGTGTAACTCTCTGGCAAACGGAGGCCCAGGCAGCAGTGAGCAGCTTCCTTTGTCTTCAGGGGCAATGGAGCCTTCCAAGTACCTCTATTAGAGAAATAAGCACCACTTTATAAACTGTTCCTACAGATGCAGGCTCTGCTCTCTTAGCAGCCAATTTATCTACTTTCATCCTCTATCCTTCCCCTAATCACAAGGCTTGGGGGAGGCAGGGCCTGAGGTAGCAAAGGTGAATACTTCTATCTTCCCTAGAAAACAAACTTTTCCCTTTAACAGGTAGCAAGAAGAGATGCTATCTCCTTTCTTGATTCTAGAGCCAGTGAAATGGTAAAGAAATTCATTCCCACAAATCCTTTGCGTGATACCAGGCATGCCATAAGATCAACATTAAGTGACTGTGGGAAAAGGACATGATCTCACTGAAGCTGAAAGAGTTCCTGACATCCCATAATATTAATTGGCTACTCCAGCATTGTCCAATAGCACCTTCTACAATGATGGAAATATTCTATACCTACATGTGGCCTCTGAGCACTTAAAATGTGGCTACAAGTGGCCAGGCACCATGGCTCACATCTATAATCACAGCACTTTAGTCCTTCTTGAGGCCAGGAGTTTGAGACCACTGTAGGCAATACAGCAACACTGCATCTCTTAAAAAAAGCTTTTTTTTTTAGGTTGGGTGCAGTGGCTCACACCTCCCTCACTTTGGGAGGCCAAGGCGGGTGGATTGCCTAAGCTCACAGGTTCGAAACCAGCCTGAGCAAGAGTGAGACCCTGTCTCTAAAAAGAGCCAGATGTTGTGGTAGGCACCTGTAGTCCCAGCTACCCTGAAAGCTGAGGCAAGAGAATTACTTGAGCCCAAGAGTTTGATGTTGCTGTGAGCTGTGACTCCATGGCAATCTACTAAGGGTGACAAAATGACACTCTGTCTCAAAAAAAATAAATATATATATATTTTTTTAATTAGCCAAGTGTGTGGCTGAGTGTGGTGGCTCATACCTGTAATCCCAGCACTCTGGGAGGTGGATGGATTGCTTGAGCTCAAGAGTTTTGAGACCAGCATGAGCAAGATGAGACCCCATTTCCTTTTTTTTAAGAGACAGAGTCTCACTTTATTAGTGTCACAGCTCACAGCAACCTCCAACTCCTGGGCTTAGGCAATTCTCTTGCTTCAGCCTCCCAAGTAGCTGGGACTACAGGTGCCTGCCAGAATGCCAGCTATTTTTTTGTTGCAGTTTCACTGGGGCCAGGTTCAAACCTGCCACCCTCAGTATATGGGGCACTGCCATCCTGAAACCTCATTTCTACTAAAAATGAAAACCTGAGGCAAGAGGATTACTTGAGCCCAAGAGTTTGAGGCTGCTATGAGCTATGATGTCATGGCACTCTACCAAGGACGACAAAGTATGACTCTGTTTAAAAAAAAATAATTAGCTAGGTGTGTGGGTATGCATGTATAGTCCCAGCTACTTAGGAGGATGATCCCCTCACCCCCACCAAATGTGGCTAAAGCAACTGAAGAAGTGAACTTTTTACTCTATTTAGTTTTAATTACTTTATATTTAATTGTACAGTACCAGCCTATAAACATCATACTGTATTTGTGACCCCCAGATGCAACTGTCTTCTTCAAGTAAAGGCAGAAAACAAAACTTTCTCTGGGATGTATTTAATAAAAGTATTAAAATAAAACACCAGGCTGCAGGGGGTGGCGCATGTGGCTCAGTGAGTAGGGTGCAGGCTCCATATACCAAGGGTGGAGGGTTCAAACCCGGCCCTGGCCAAACTGCATCAAAAAAATAGCTGGGCGTTGTGGCGGGCGCCTGTAGTCCCAGCTACTCAGGTGGCTGAGACAGGAGAATCGCCTAAGCCCAGGAGCCGGAGGTTGCTGTGAGCTGTGATGTCACCGCACTCTACCAAGGGCGACA